CATCCAATACAGGTTTGTCAAGCTAGGTTCTCATCTTAAAATATATATCTACCTATTATACAGCACAATGTTAAATGGTTTTTAGAGAAACATATCAATGACTAATTTTTATCTTATAAATGCTCAATATTTTTTCTAGCACATTTTCTTTCTTTCATGAAGATAAAACAACAAATTACAAGCTGTTGTTTTTATAAGCTCAATATTTACTGGCCTTATAATTTGATCATAAAAACATGAAAAATTATCATAAGCTCATTATAGCTGTCATTGAATTGAACATTTGAATAATTTAATATTGTTAATTTTTCTTAAAACGAAAATCACAATACATGTAATTTTAAAGGAATATATACTTCCAGTCATTAAGCATGTAGACAGATATAATTATTGTAGTTGAGAAATTACTAGCTTAAAACCGTCACAAATTTCAGGATTTTAGTAGAGTTTGACCATTAATATTTGTCACAAGAACACTTTGGCCTGCTATACTGGTGGGAAGAGTTAATGAACCTGATTTTTGATCAACACCAGATGGCAGCACTGTTAAAACGTTTGATAAATTCGATGGGGTAATTGTCAATAAATTTGATCCTTTTGAAGGCGAGCTAGCCGGAATAAGTCCCTGGGAGGTAATTCCTTGCAAAGTTACTGATGATGATGAAACAGACCCTGAAGTTGCGGTTCCTGAAACAGATGATGAATTTCCATTCGCAGTTGCGACGTTAAACTGACTTATCATCTGCATTTGTGAAAATGATGTCGATGGATTTATACGTTTTTCTTTTTGCCGTCGGTTGCAAAACCACACGCGTATAACTTCCTTTTCCATGTGTAAACTGTCAGCCAATATTGATATTTCTTCCCCATTGGGTTTAGGATTGTTAAGAAAACTTTTTTCAAGAGTGACACGTATTGTTGTCTCGATGCTTGTACGCTTTTTCCGTCGTCTGGCGATTGATTCGGGTGTCATTGGATCCACATCGCCATCAGTTTCAGCGGCCTGACTGGAACTGACCGTATTAGCGTCTTCTAACCATTTACTAAGCAAAGGTTTTAATTTACACATATTTTTAAAACTGAGATTTAATGCCTCAAAGCGAGATATTGTTGTTTGGCTAAAATCGTTGCCATATAACTTTCCCATAGCAAGACCTACATCTCCCTGAGTAAAACCTGAAAAACAAATTTTTAATTATAATCTGCCATAAGAAATTATCCAAATAAATATCAGTTATATGAAACTATCCATTTAGGTAAGTTAAATTGTTGAGAAAAAAAATTCATTGCCTTTTATAGCTAAAATTATATATCTTTAACTCTCACCTTGCTTACTATCTTAATCTCATTCTTGACAAAATCATTCATCATTTTAGGAAAAATTAAAAGACTCATGTCAATAGACTAAGTAGCAAACAGTGCAGACTATCATGTATGCAGTGGTTTCATGGATAAAATCATTTCCTACAAGAATGCTAAGGTATTGTACCTAATATCTATACGAAGATTATAAGTCTGATCCTATACTTACCTAGTTCTATTCTTCTTCTCTTGAAAGATTTTGCAAACTGTTCAAGTTCCTCTAAATCAATATTTTCTTCCTGAAAGATACATAAAAAGTCTATTTTTAGCTTGTGTGACCTTGTGGATCAGACTAAAATGTTTTTATATATTGTGATATAGGAAATGCTGTTTAATTGTGGCTTATGTCAGACATTATGTGGTCACAAAAGCTCACATGTCTCTAATTTTCTTCTACTTTGGTTGGGAAACACTGTAAAGATCTCATGGCAGCTTTACTGCCACAGGAAGACCTCAGGTGTCCCTCCAGGCATGATCGGGCACCCGATTAAAACCACTAACATTCAGTAAGCTAGTTGGACAGCTTTCTCACATGAAAGAATCAAAGTCCCTGAAGGGAATCAAACCTACAGCAGTGAGAGGCAAGTGGTCTGAAGTCAACAACCGTAACCACTCAACCAGATGCCTCACTTGGATGATATTAACAATATAATCCATTGAATTCCAATGTCTGTTATATCTGAACATTATAATCGTGTATTAATGCAATTTTTTTCGTGCATTAAATCTGCATAAGCAGTCCTTAATCTGATACAATATTGGAAATATCACAATATTTGTTAATGTTTCATGACAAGATAATTTAATTGGATACAAAATCAATTGTATAACCTTAAGCAAATAACTGTGGTACATTCTCCTAACAACATGTTACATATGACAGTTTTGCAATAAACAAACAATTCTCATTTAATCTCAGACATTGATGAAAAAAATAAACTTATTTCAAACATCTGTTTACCAGGTAAGCTTGCTCAAGGAAACAACGGCTTGCCCCTGACAAGGGTTTGAACCCACATGACCAGCAATCCTTAAACCTAGTCTGCCACTCCTGGTTCAACTTAAGCATCATCTTGCCTAATTTATGCACAGAGGGGCACAAACCGCCATCTTTCTAAACAATTGCAAAAGAAGCTGGAATACTACAAACATGTTTTGCATGACTTAAAACAACAAAATAGAAACAAAATGAGAATACTAACTGGTGCTAAAAGGGGAGGTAACCCTGATGTTGATATGTCCCCACTGAGATCAGATGATGTCGAGTTCTGGCTGTCTGACTTCAACTCTCCAATATTTGTTGCTTGTGATGCTGAGGTAGTTATAAGTTGATTTGGTGTAACACTTGTGTTAGCCAAGGATTGAACTGTGGTCAGTTTAACTGGGGTCACAGATTGGGATAGTGACGCTGGTACAGCCGCTGTAAGTCCCGGTAACAGGAAACCACCCTGGCAATAAAAAGAAATTTGAAAATTCTATTTCCTTGACTGTTTTCTTAAGAAATAAGTTTAGTTCAAAGATATTATGTTTTAGCTTACACATGTGATGAAAGATATATAATTATATGAACCACTCTCAAGTACGTTTCAGCAACCAACAAGCACTTTAGTCATGTAAGGAACCATGGGCGGAACTTGTGACCCATGAAGGACTTGAACCAATGATCCCTGCAACCAGATGCATATACTTTAACCGCTGTTCCTCTTCAATATGAAAGGCAAAATAACTGACATAAATATATCTATATCACAGTTAAGTTTTTTCTTTGCAACCAGTGTAAAAGAAAGTTGTGTATACAGTTGTCCTTTGCCACGCATTGTAAATTTTGTAAAAGCATCCAAAACAAAAACCCATTAGAAAAATTTTCCTTTAAATTTAAAGACCTTCAAAAAAAGAAGGCCCAAAACATTTTCCTCCATAAGAAAAAAAAGGGGGTTTTTATTTGGAGAAAAACTTTTTTTTTTTAAAATTTCCAAAAAAAAGGGTTTGTCAAAAGGTTGCCCTTTCTTGCATATCTGAGGGGTTATTTTAACTTTTTACACTGATGCAAAAAACAACCTGTTTTAAACACCCTCCAATTTTAAAAACAATTCACATTTTTTTAAAAATAACCTCATTCCCCTTTCCCAAGTTTAATGAATGAACTGCGTTTCAATGGGGAATTAAAACATCATTTTGCCTTATGAAAGGTAAGTGCAAATTTGGTTAAATTAGTTTTCGAAAATTTTTTCCCAAATATAAATTTAATTTATGAAAAATTTTTGCAAGAAAAAACTAAAACACAAAACCCCGTCCTAGAAAATTTTGGAAAAAATTTTTAGCTCTCGGCTTTAGTGTTCACAAAAAACTTTAAAAAAACCCTTTGTTACAGCCATAAAACATTTTTACCCTCGAGCTAGATTTAAGGTCTATTTTTTTGGCACCCGGTTTCGGGTTTTTCCTTTATTCCCAAAAGGTTACTGATTTGTTTTTTTTGCCAAAAAATTTTCCCAGAAATTTTTTTCCTTGTTTTTTAACTTTTTTAAAATTCCCGGGGGTTTGTAAAAAATAAACTTTTAAGGGGTTTAATGGGGGGTTTAAATGTTTGTTCCCAAATGCCTTGCCTAGTTTTTTTAAATTTTTGGGAAAAAAAATTTGGGGTGAAAAAAATTTTTAAACCTTAAAAAATTTTTTAAAGGTTTAAAAATTTTTAGCAACAAAATTAAAATTAGTACTTACTTTAGGTTAGAATCTCACTGAAAATTTTCTATGGAACTTCGGTGGTTTTACTCAGCTGTACGTTCCTGCCTGAAATAATGCAAGGAAGTGCACCTGAGGTCTTCTTCCACAAGTAAAGCTGGAAAGTTGCCATATGACCTATACTGTGTCTGTAAGACATAAAACCCAATCAAACACTGAACATTTTTCAGCACATGACCAGGCTAACTTTCAGGTGTTGAAATGGATCATTCCAAAAGACCTAGAAGTGTATGATTTTCTGAATAACTCCTTAAACAGTGTTTTTCTTCTTCTAAATACACATTGTTAAAGCAAGCATGATGTAAAACTTTAAGATTGGCAAACAAACATTCTTTTAGCCCTTAACATGCTAAATGTTTCAATCTTGACAAAACTATTCATACAATTTTTAGGGACAATTTCAAAGTAACAACTGACTGAATAGAAAATAGAGACAACTATGATTTGACAGTATTGTTGAGCCAGCTTATCCTGCCACGTGTTCACTAAGCAAAAATCAGGGTCACGATCAAATGGCGAATATTTGTGTTTTTTAAATTTGATTCTGATCTTGATCCTGAAATTTTAGTGAATACGTGGCCTGGTTGTCACTGGTTGCATGAGGAGATTCTGAAGCCGGTCGCAGGCTTTAGGTTACATGAAGAATACGTCCTTCTAAGAATCAAATGTCTACAGTCTTTCTACGCCATTAATTTTGAATACAAATCGGTATATAGCTTCAGATGTTAAATTTATTCTAATTTGATACATTCTCTAGAACTTTGGAGTGCAGTTTAAAAACAATATACAAGTAAATAAAAAGAATAAACCACAATTGTGCAAGTGTGAAGAAACGGTGTTGGTACAAGGAGATGAAATAATGCAACGTATTGTTTTCTAAGACCTCAGAACCTGCCTACCTGTTGTTGTAGATTCTGCAATGCTGTTACAGCTTGTGACTGAGCTGTCTGCTGTTGAAGCTGTTGCTGTTGTTGAAGTTGCTGTAACTGTTGTTGCTGTATCTGCAGCTGAATCTGTTGCTGTAACTGTTGTAGATCCGCTGTAGATAGCTGGATGTTACTCTGTAGTGGATTGGACACTGCTGGTATCTGTGATTAAACAAAGTTTTTGACATACACTCATTCATTATTAACAGATTGGCGATACATGTCATCTGTTAAAATCAGTTGTATTTTTAGTCTGTAGATTAAAATATCCCCCTTTATCCCCTCAAAACTTACACATTGACGGTGCCATTTTATTTGAAAAATCTGATAAATAAAAAACAAGTTTTTGTTGAATTTTGTTCTGAAAACTATCTAGTATAATAGGAAATGGTGCAACTAAGAAAATAAATCGAACACCAATATCTTTAATTCAGTCATTAATGCTGTACAGATGGTTAAAGTGTTGTTAACGTGACATCACAATGCAGCCCCAAACAATGCATGCAAAAACAGTCAAAACAAGAACACTATTCCAATTAAATTTAACACTTATTTAACTATGAATACTCTGTATTTTGCTTGAAAAATATAAAGTGAAATAAAATAAACACACAAAATTATTTTTATCATGGAAACTCTAATTATTGGAAACTGGGGCGAAAACAAATTTAACCACCAAACATAATAGTCTAACAATATTTTTTTCTTGACTTCTTAACTATTTTTTTTTTTTAATGGAAACAAATATTATTAATTCTTTGTGCATTATAGTATAATAATGCACGGGTTTTCGTTTTAATGCTTTGTAATAAATCACTTAGGCCTATTATTGGCCTTTGTGATTATATTCCTACTACGCATTTTATCTTAAACCATGCATTATTCTATAACAATGAATAGATATCTATTTCCTAAATATAACTTACAAGATCTATTTCAACATGGCACGAGTCACGTGACAATACTATAAATTAATAAAACAAGAGGGCCATGATGGCCCTGAGGTCGCTCACCTGTATATAGCCCCCCCCCACCGGCCAATTTTTACCCAAGGGCTTTTATTTGAACAGACTTGGTAGACACCCATAAGAAGATGTTTCATGCTAAACATCTAAGTTCTAGCTCATTGGGTTTTTTAAAAGAAGATTTTTTAAGTTTTCACTATACACATATAGTTAAAAACAATGACACCCCTGGGGCAGGGCCAGTTTTGACCCCCGGGCTTTTATTTGAACAAACTTTGTAGATATTTACTTAAAAATGTTTCATGTATAATATCTAAACTCAAGCTATTTGGGATTTTTCAAAGAAGATTTTTAAGTTTTTGCTATACACATATAAGGAAAATCAATGACCCCCGGGGTGGAGCCAGTTTTGACCCCAGGGCTTTTATTTGAACAAACTTGGTAGACACCCATTAGAACATGTTTCATGCTAAATATCTTAGCTCTAGCTCTTTGAGTTCTTTAAAAGAAGATTTTTTAAGTTTTTACTATATGCATATAGGGAAAATCAATGACCCCCTGGGGCGGGGCCAATTTTGACCCCAGGGCTTTTATTTGAACAAACTTGGTAGACACTCATTAGAAGATGTTTCATGCTAAATATCTTAGCTCTAGCTCTTTGGGTTCTTTAAAAGAAGATTTTTTAAGTTTTTACTATATGCATATAGGGAAAATCTATGACCCCCTGTGACGGGGCCAATTTTGACCCCATGGCTTTTATTTGAACAACCTTGGTAGACATTCACTAGATGATGTTTCATGCCAAATATCTAAGCTCTAGCTCTTATGGTTCTTTAAATTTAAAGAAGATTTTTTAAGTTTTTACTATATGCATATTGGGAAAATCGGGGCGGGCCAATTTTGACCCCAGGGCTTTTATTTGAACAAACTTGGTAGATACTCACTAGAAGATATTTCATGTCAAATATCTTAGCTCTAGCTCTTTGGGTTCTTTAAAAGAAGATTTTTTAAGTTTTTACTATATGCATATAGGGAAAATCTATGACCCCCTGGGGAAGGGCCAATTTTGACCTCAGGGCTTTTATTTGAACAAACTTGGTAGACACTCATTAGAAGATGTTTCATGCTAAATATCTTAGCTCTAGCTCTTTGGGTTCTTTAAAAGAAGATTTTTTAAGTTTTTACTATATGCATATAGGGAAAATCAATGACCCCCTGGGGCGGTGCCAATTTTAACCCCAGGGCTTTTATTTGAACAAACTTGGTAGACATTCACTAGAAGATGTTTCATGCCAAATATCTAAGCTCTAGCTTTTACAGTTCTTTAAAAGAAGATTTTTTAAGTTTTTACTTTATGCATAAAGGGAAAATCAATTACCCCCCCCCCGGGGCCAATTTTGACCCCAGGGCTTTTATTTGAACAAACTTGGTAGACACTCACTAGAAGATGTTTCATGCCAAATATCTTAGCTCTAGCTCTTTGGGTTCTTTAAAAGAAGATTTTTTAAGCTTTTACTATATGCATATAGGGAAAATCAATGACCCCCTGGGGCGGGGCCAATTTTGACCCTAGAGCTTTTATTTGAACAAACTTGGAAGACACTCATTAGAAGATGTTTGATGCCAAATATCTAAGCTCTAGCTCTTACGGTTCTTTAAAAGAAGATATTTAAAGATTTTTCTTTCGGTTGCCATGGCAACCAGAGTTCTGCATGAAATGGAATTCTTTGAACAATCTTGATAGAGCTTCATACAAAGAGTATTCCTGCCAAGTTTCATTAACATTGGCCTTGCGGTATCATAGAAGATGTCCTTAGAATATTTAAAATGTGGACGGACGACTGACGACGGACGCCATTTGGTTGGCCATCCTAAAAGCTCACCTGCACTTTGTGCAAGGTGAGCTAAAAATGATTATTTTAAATGTTAAACTGTTACTTTATATAACAACTGTTACTTTTATGAATCAATCTGTTACAAGTAATTTCCTAATATGGAAACCTAAACTACCATAAATAGTCTGTATTTACCACAGCTGTAGGCTGAGCAAATGGGCTCTGAAGGATGAATCCTCCCTGTTGCATGCCGGCCATTGATAAATTTCCTAAAGCCATAGGTTGCAAGGTGGGCATGGCCGGGGTTGCCTGACTTGTTGCAGTCATTCCGGCATTTAACTGAAACTGTAAAAAAAATACATATTTGTTTTATCACTTAATCATTTTTTTTAACATACATGTACATTTGTATTATCAATTATTATCAATTATGAAAGAGGTTCTTTCAATTAATAATCCGTATTTATCACCTTTGTGGTTCCTGCATGGTAAAATTTCAAAGCATCAGTGCCACTGATACATGTGATTAAAATATTCTTTGTTTGAATTTTCAACATTATACAAACATATATATAAAATTATCACCATTAAAGGAACTCCACTCAGCAGAACTCCAAAAGCCTAAAAACATGAATATGTACAAGTAACTTTTTTCTGTATTGAATCAAATACCAACTACAGTTTTTAAAAAAATTCAAACAAATTCATACCTGAATCTTGCCATCAGCAAGGCTTGCATCTTGATCTCCCTCTTTCATAATCTATCCTGAAATTATAAAACAAAAATATATCATTAATACTTCATGTTCAGGCCAATTTGAAAGTGTGTCTTTAAAGCCTATATAATATTAAGCTTTCGTAACAAAATGTAAAATAAGTAAATAAAGTTCTGTAATACCGTATGTATATATCTAAGAACATTCTAAACTTAAAGGTCAAAGAAAATTTCCTGTCCCCTGGAGTCTTACTCATTCAACTGTCTTAATGCTAATGTGTCCATTCTGAAGAGTCTGAGGCCATCATTATACATACCCACAATGTTTTATGTGACTCTTAAACTGCTGGTATCCCTTAAATCAATATTGCACAGTTCCGAATTACAAGCAGGACAAGTCTGATAACCAAATTTAGTGGGTACATATACACTGGGTAAATAATTTCAGTTCTCTAATTACAAATCTAATAAGAACAAAGTTCTTCTTCATTCAACCTTTACACTTCTAAGTTTGTGTAATGGATTTGCCCTGCTTTGACTTTGGAACAGCCCATTCAAATTTTAAGGGATTTTAGAAATGAAATACAAAAATTGATCTACCAACAATATAGACGCTCAGGTCAGGTTGCCCAGATATGCAGGCTGGTCTGACAATATACTGGGGCTATCCTTAAAAAAATGTTTGTTTGCAGTAACCCGACCCAGAATTTTCAAGGTGGGTAGGAAGGTCGATTTTCTTTTATTTTTTTTTTATTGAACTGTACTCCCAAATAAACATGGAATTTCAAAATGCTGGACAATATAATGCTTTGATAATCTGGTAACAATTAATAAATTGATAACTGAATTCTAATTTAATAAGACCTACATTTTATTTCTTCTATTAACCTTTAAAAGAGCGACAACAAAGCACAAAGCATAATTTTCTGATTCAAAATTTTTTTTTTTATCCAGACCATGAAAAAAACTTTTGAGTAGGGGCAAATTTTGTGAGTCGGTCGCGTTACTGCAAACGAACATTTTTATAAGGATGGCCTGGTGGCAAAGGCTAATTAATCTCAGTACCAGCAGGTTAAGGTTCCTTCATATAATCAAAAACAAGTTCAATTTAAATTCTCAACTCAGTGCATACCAAAATATTCACCCAAGTGCAGTAATGGGTTATGTCCTTAATCTAATCTAGGAGTTAACCAGTTATTGCACTAAGGTGATGACAATTATAACAATCAACAGTTTTTTAGCATAAAGCACAATTTCACCACATATTCGTCATCAATTTATATTATAAATTCATACACTTTGTCTCTTAATAAAAACCAATTAATCACAGTCAAAAGAAGATATTCATTTTTAAATTATTCAAAGTTTTCAAACACAAAGAGTCTGAATACAACTTCAATTTATCACATTAAATTCATTATTTTAGGCTTGGTTGCAATTTGATCTTAAATATCACAAATTTGCATATGTAAATTTTGGTAAATAAGGCTATGCATTTATCAATATTTGTTTTTACATTGAACTCGGATAGTTTAGGTTTTAACACTGTGACTTTCATGTTTTAATCATTGTAAAAACTCAACATGTTATCTACCAGAGCACAGTAACTGTTCAGCCACCATTGTATCTAGAAAGGCTGTCAAGCAGTTAACAAGTACTAGTTGCCTTCATTTTCTCAAGGAACTAATAACTTCTGCACATGCAAGAGCAGAGGTACAGTGCGACTGACTGTAGAAAGGATTTTATTATCAATCATAACGAAAGTGACCTGCACTGTCCTGGAATCGAACCCTGAGTCCGATGCTCTACCTATTGTGCTAATTTAATTTAACTGATTAAAAATCAGCAACTTTAAATAGTCACTATGTCATCATCTCATGTATCAATTCTAAGGTACAATGTATGAACGAGCACAGCAAACCAATAACTTTCTTAAAGTACTGGCAAACTGAAAATAACACTAATAAATCATGCTCATTTATATGCGCCTAATTAACATAATCATACCAAATACGATAAAATCTTAAATAATATGATAAATGTCATATCCCAGTAAAATTCACTTCATTAATTCACCTGCTTATGTTTCATTTGTATAAAAATACATAGATAATTTATTCATAACATTTTTCTCCCTTATAAATATTAAAACTATCTTATGAACAAGAAACGTGAGCTACAGGCAATATGTCACATGTAGATTAAATTAAGCATTCTATATGGTAAAAAGTTAATATCAAATATCGTATAGGAATGACAAAAACCCTGAAAAAGCATGTCATTTCATAAGCCTTGTTTAACAAGATGTTTTTCTTTTACTATAAAAGCATGTATTTCACTCTAATCTTGCTCGGAGTATCTTTAAAATGACCAGTCCAGCTTAACATTATTTTTTTTAACAGTAACTGTCGATGATATCAATTTTTCTGATTTTAAAGGAACTCCACTGAGGTTCAATGGCCTAAAAATATAACAAGAGCCACCGCCGGGCGGGGGCAACGCTCGACTTTTTACTTTTTCTAAACGCAAACATAGAAAGGTTTGAACATATATTGATGTTTCCTTTTTATAAATTTAGTTGGTCTTTCTTGTCACATTAGTTTTGTTTATATATTTTGTTTATATATGAATAGAAACATTAAGCATATTTCTAAAAATAGCAACAGTACGCAATTTCTAAAAATAGCAACAATGACGCAATTTCTAAAAATAGCAACAATGACGCAATTTCTAAAAATAGAAAAAATGACGCAATTTCTAAAAATAGAAACAATGACGCAATTTCTAAAAATAGAAAATAATGATGCAATTTCTAAAAATAGAAACAATGACGTAATTTCTAATAATATAGAAAAAAAAATGACGCAATTTCTAAAAATAGAAACAATGACGCAATTTCTAAAAATAGAAAAAAATGACGCAATTACTAAAAATAGCAACAATGACGCAATTTCTAAAAATAGAAACAATGACGCAATTTCTAAAAATAGAACAAAAATGACGCAATTTCTAAAAATAGAAAAAAATGACGCAATTTCTAAAAATAGCAACAATGACGCAATTTCTAAAAATAGAAAAAAATGACGCAAATTCTAAAAATAGCAACAATGACGCAATTTCTAAAAATAGAAAAAAAATGACGCAAATTCTAAAAATAGCGACAATGACGCAATTTCTAAAAATAGAAAAAATGACGCAATTTCTAAAAATAGAAAAACATGACGCAATTTCTAAAAATAGAAAAACATGACGCAATTATATACATGTATATATATGTATATATATATACCTGCATATATGTATATATATACACACACACATTTATATATATATAGAGGATATTTGTTTGTTTTGCATGTAAGATTGAAATATAATTTCACTGAGTGAACACCAGATGCAATATTTTCACGAGTGGCGTAGCCACGAGTGAAAATATAATAGCTGGTGTTCACGAATGAAATATATTTCAATCTTATATGTAAAACAAATAAATTTTCTTTTTATTTCATGCTTTTTAAGTGATTTTAAGTATTTTTTACTGATTTTGCCGCGTAACGTCGCGCATTCTCCTTTGTGACGTCATCACATCATGACGTCACATTATCAAGCTTGAAAAATAGTTCTGTTAAATTTCTCTCATTTTGTTACATTTTTTTAATATGATGTATGGTGACATCGACTTTCTTTTCCTAAAGAAGCAAAATTTACGCATGACAGCATTTATTTCTGTCTGTTATTCAATTTAGTTATGATTTTCTTTTCATCCGCATTTAGATATAGTCCGGCTACAGTGAAAATTATATTTTATAAATTTCACTAGTGGTTTATCAGAATATAATCATCTGAGATATTCCAATAAAACACTGGAAAGCATGAAATAAATATATATAATACATATACTATACATACACACACACCAATAAATGCACAATCTGAGAAAATTTAGTAATATAACCTTCAAGGTCAAGGTCATTAAAGAGCCCAAGCAAATTTGGGTTTGATAAACAAACAAGGTCTGGTTCTTAAGAATGTTCTGTTATAATATGAAGTTTATCCCTTCAAAAATAGCAAAGTTACAGTCAGTTACTGCCAAAACAATGAAAATTTCAATAATTTGACCTTCAAAGGCAATGTCATTAATGAGTGAAGGTCAAGGTCTTTCGGTATATTTTTAACAGTTATCTTTGAAGATTATTATGTTCAAGTTTGAGACAATCCATCCAAAAATAACAAAGTTACAGCCAATAATAGCCAAAAAAATGAAAATTTCAATAATTTGACCTTCAAAGTCAAGGTCATTGATGAGTGAATGTCAAGGTCTGACTGGTTATTTTTAAGGGATATCCTTGAAGATTATTATGTTCAAGTTTGAAGACAATCCATTCAAAAATAACAAAGTAACAGCCAATAACAGCATGAACAAGCAAAAAATTGGACTTTTAACTTGAAGGTCAAGGTCATTTATGATGAAGGTCAAGGTTAGTGTGGTCTACTGAAAGGTCTTGTCCCAAGGGTTGTTGTGGCCAAGTATGAAGACAATACACCAAGAAATAAAAAAGTTATGATCCAGGTACAAGTTTTCGGACAGCAACGGCAACGGCAACGGAGACGGCAACGGCAACGGCAACGCCGACCTGACTATAACAATACCTCTACTTTTTTTTTCAAAAAAAAAAAAGTCGAGCTAAAATTTGAATTTTGTACTTAGATCTATGGGGACACTTAAAACAGAAAAAAATTAAGAAATGTTACATCAGAAAAGTATTTTTGAGCTTTTTCTTGGAAAAGCATTGCAACACTTTACAATTTTGGTTCATTTTTCACAATTAATTAAAATAATGATTCTGGAAAAACAGAGTGAGTGAATGATCTGAAATTTTGCACAAAATCATATTACTTATATACACCTTCATCAAATTGAAAATTTATTTCCTGTTCCGTCATATCAGAAAACCTCCGTGGAGTCCCATTCAACTAAAAGTGGTCAGCTAACAGTTTAGAGACATTCAGGCTCAGGCTTTACTATACTGGTTGCAAAGGCTAATCTGGTT